AGAGTCTGCATCCTAAGCTCGGAGAGAGAAGTAGGAATCAGACCGCCCGGGTCCTTACCTGGAAGAGAAACCCTCTGAGCTTCACCCCAAACCCCAAGGCCCAAATCCATGAAATCCATGGCGACCCTAAGCCATCAAGGCTGCGAAGCCCTCAACATTCCAAGACTAAAACCACAAAGACCCCGAATGAGTAAACCCGAGCCCTAAAACCCAAAACAAAGCCCCAAACCTGCGGATGCGAGACCTGCCTTCTTCAAAGTTCGCCGTTCGCGAACCCATAAAACGCACTTGTTTCTTATTTCATGCCAGCAGCTGCCAGGGGTATTTAGCTCAGGGGGAAAGCGGTTTAGGGTTTAGGGTTTAGGGTTTAGGGTTTAGGCCGCCTTATTGTGGGTCTTCGGGGTTGTTCTACAGCTTGGTGTGCCACAGAACTTACAGACCCTGGCGAGTTCACGGGGAGCCGCAAAAGGCGTCGGTCAGTGTAACGTCCAAGGGGCCAAGACCCTCGGCTCCTGCTTTTGTTTAGACGCCCCAAGCCCGAAACTCGTCGGAGATGTGAGTGTCGACAAAGCTTCATTTGGGTTTAAGGGGTTTAGGGTGGGTTTAGGGGTTAAGGGGTTTAGGGGTTTAGGATTCCGGGCCCTTTTCTCAGGCCTTCCTGGCAGCCGGAGGTGGCTCCGATGTGGGAGCACAGCCTCTTCAGCTGGTCCGGGAGTGCCCTGGCGCCTTGTATCCAGGTTTAGGGGTTTCGGGTAGTGTTGTTGTTCTTGTGATGGCTCGCAACTGGCACTTGTTCCGATATACGATCATGGACTATCTCAGCTATGTGTATAGAGGTATATATGTGTGTATGCACACACACACACATATATATGCACACTGAAATGTGTGTTGATATATGCACACGTACGTGCATACGTACGCACATATATGCGTAGTACATGACACACACACACACACACACTCCAACACAGACAGCGTGCACATGCGGACGTACGTGTGTGCGCGCAATCATCCATGAATTTATTCACTAGCTCCGTAATTCACGCATTCGCTCAGTCTGGCTACTGGTTATGTTGTTTTCATAGGTCCGGGGCATTTGGCTTGGCTTTCGTCAAAGTTTGCTTCCTGAGGCTCACCACCTCCTGTTACTCATCGGAGACCTCTTCTAAAGTGACATTCTCTGCCATAGTGACTTACTACGAACATCCCTGCGAGAAACGATGATCTTCGAGGTCTACTTGCATAGTGGTGAGAGATCACGATTGACACGACGGCATGATGTCGATGCATTCGGTGCGTGTCCTGGTGCTGCTGATGCTGTGCGGATTGTTGTGCTCATGGTGTTGGGCTGTGGTAGTCTAGTCACCAGGTTTCATGGTCATGTTTGCCAAGCACATGTTGGTTTTGTTTGTTAGTCATGTTCTTCCGTTCTTCCTTCGTGCTTTAATTCCCATCCTCGACTATTTTTGTTGAGTCGGTCAATGGGCAGGAAGGGTAACACAGATCGGCTCTATAGCAACCTGTACGCCGCTCTGGCTGTGGATGATGGGATCGGTCGTGGCCATTTTTCCTAAACGCTGTGCTGTTCTCATGGTGAGCCTTTGCTACGAAGCATTCCACTTTGTCGCGAGCCGCTTCCGCTGTTGGCCATGGTCCGACAGTGTGTGTGTGTGTGCTTGCGTGCATGCAACAGATGACACAGACCGACACTATAGCCAAGACATTCCTGATATTCCTGTCTAACTGATGAATCTTCTGGCTCTTTCGCGCACACACACACAAAGCGTGGTCTCCTCATTCGATCGTCTCGAGAAAGGAGCGGATGCTTTGTCACAAGCCCAGGTGCGTCATTTGCGCAGCTCCTAAACCTGAGGCCGTGCTTCCTTCCAGGGGTTTCCGAAGGTTTGTTCATTCTCGGAGTTCGGGGTTGGCGTTTTCTTGGCTAGTAATTACCTTAAAACAGCCGTGACCCGAATTTCTTCATTTGCTGGCCTCAGGGAGGTCGATCCCGCACACTACTACGACAGCAACTGTTGCCGCTGATGGTTTGCAGCCATTTGCATTTTGCTCGTTGCTGTCGATGTCTGTGGTTACAAGTCAGCATGTCTCAGATCACTCAGCCTGGGTGCCGACGCTAACCACCTGAGCACCCCAACGAGATTTGAAATGGGCTGGCAACTCCCAATGTTTTATGAATGGAAAATAGCTGCTGTCATCACGACAATGCAACAAAGAACCTGCGAACAGACTCAGGCAGCAACGGCCGGAACAGATGGCAGTACAAGAGTCTGCATGCCCGCAGCTTTTGGACATGCTCAAGGGTAGAATTCCTGCCCCTCTTGCAAAAAAAAGGCCACGGAGAGAGGCGTAAATTGCCCGGGGATGACGAATGCCGAGCCCGTGGGGTCGGCCTCAGACGACCCAGGAGGCCGGAGAGCTCCTCTAGTTTCTTGCATGTAGGGTTTGCAGTGTGTGAAGGCCTAAAGTGGGAAGTGTCGTGTCGAGGGTGCTCGCTGGGATGCTTCTCTAGCCGACTCTACCCTAAACCCTCAGCGGCAAGAAGATGTCCTGATCCGGTTACATAGCTTGCGAATCCTGACGACGTCCATCGGCGTCCTCCATCCAGGCTCTAAGCCCCAAGCTATGGCTGTCATTGCATGCGTTTGCGCAACGCCCTGTTTAAGTCGCTGTGTTGCTTGCGTATGATGTCCGTGGTAGGTATGGAAGTTCTTGGAATGCCTGACTGACCGAGCTTTCTAGCCTGCCTTGGAGGCAATGCTGTTGCTCAGGGCAACCATAACTTCCAGAGTGCTGCGCTGAGCTTGTCGGCTCAGGGTCGTTTAGGGTTTTCCGATGGGTTTTCCGAATCAGGGGTCCGGCCCAGTTATGTAAGGGTTTTAGAGCATTCCAGAAAGGGATTCGGATATGGAAGCGGTTCGTGTGAGGATTGAAATTTCAGCCAGGGCAACCCAGCCACCAACGTCGATGAAGGCGTCTTGTGGACCCCGTATGTAAACCTGTGAAACCATGTTTGTACCATAGTATCCTGGACCTGTGTTGTTCTGTCGCGATCCTTTCGTGTGTTCCTTTGCTTCCCGGGCTATCGCGCGGTAAGGTGCGTGTGGCTGTGATTATATTTATATTCGTAGCATAGCATACCACTGGAGCGGCACGCGTTTAAGGCTTCTACATGTTTTTGACCCAGGCTACCAACCAGAACTTCAGGCCGTCACTACTATCATAACCACAAGATTTTTGAGCAGAAGGCATGACTCTGGTTTTGCGCTTGTGGTCGATGTAACTGACCGCACACCTTAGGGTGCGCATGCGTTTCTGTGATGCTTCACCTGAGGAGGTTCGTCAAACGGCTCCCTAGCGGATCGCATAGTAGGAGGCTCGCCCTCTTCTGAGGGTTTGCTTGTGGAGAGATTCAGGGCATTTGGACGGGCATAACCGATCTACACAATTCAGAGAATCCTCCTACAGATCAGATTCCAGGCGACTAAGTTGAAATCCCCACCAGCACTTGGATTTGCAATGCACGAGGGGTTCACGAGCCAGTGGCTCCGCCAAGGCTTAGGGTTTGCCTGCTTTCGGGAGCTTTGCAATGATTAAGGTTTGAATCTTGCAGGAACTAAGCTTAGCACAATATCTCCAGAACATTCAGATGTGATGTCGTTCAGGTGTCCCGGAGGCCTAACTCTTGAGTGCTGGATGGCTTCTTACATAGGCTACCTGACTTGGGACATGTTTCGTTTCGAGGCCTGTTCTGTCTTTCGAGTCTCCGTGTGAAGTTGGCTTGTGTCTGTGCCGTTGCCATGTTCGAGTTGGACTCACGGAGCTTTCAGATGTCAGGTGCGACCTGGCAGGACAATCAAAACAATGTGTCCCTACGTAATGCATTCGGTCTCCTAGTCCTTACCTCTCAGGTGCCGAGCCCTGCGCCAAAAAGCACAGTAGCAAACTGCGGTCGAGCTTCGAGTGAGTTTCGCGACTGGCAGGCGGTCCGGCGCATGTTGATCGAGACGATCTCCTTGCCAGGGGGATGACCAATCAGCGCCGCGTCCTGCAAAGTGCTGCCCAAGACAGTCGTCAATAGCAGTTGTTAGACTGATTTGCCCAGGTTGCACCACAACTCCCAAGCTGACGCCGTTTGCCAGAGCTGTGAGTTACAAAGTTGAAACAAACCCCAAGCCTGCGAGCCCAAACCCCAAATCCTCAACGGTTAAAATTGAGGCAAGTGGACGCCATTGAAGTCCAAGCCCGCATTGCGGATGAGCTCAGGCCAGGCTTTCTGCCCTGGTGCAGAAGCGGAGGGGCCCTAGGGGTGGGGGGCGGGGATTGGGGCCCGGGTTTGTTTTAGCGGTTCTATTTCAAGCCCAAAACCTGACACTGACTCGAGCTTGACCAGGGCGCACATTGTGCGATGGGTTTTGTGCTTCATGTGCACGCTTCTTGGCTGTAAATTGGCCCGTGTTTTCTCAAGTTCCATGAGTGGCCGAAGGCAAGACATGGGGGGCGATTGATGCCGAGGGATCCAGACACCTTCCCCAATTAATCTCTTACTCACACCTGTTAATAACAGCCCCCCAGAAGAATCGCTTTCGGAAGAAAGGCATCTAATGTTTCGGGTCCATGTTCAGAATGTTGCATGTGACCTATTTTCTTGGAAACCACTTTTTTCAGTCCGCAGTTTTTCAGTCCTACCTTGTGGTGGTTCCTGCCCGACAGTCTCGGCAGTCCGCCTTGCTGCGCTGGAGTTCCTGCAGTGCTGGGACAGCTTTGGGTTTAGGGTTTAGCGCTTAGGGTTCGGGAAAGGAGCTCAAAGCAGACTTATTGGCTCACGCGCTCTTGAAATTATGATGTTCTGGATGGCCTGCGAATCTCTAACTGCCAAGACTCACCCAAGACAGACGGAGACACGGAGCAGGAGAGCTCTGGTCAGCAGCGATGAGCAGCAGATGTTTTCGGTTCCCAACGACTCCTAACGATAGCACCCTACTTAGCCGCAATTGGTTTTACTTCTTGGCCAGTATTTAAACTATTATAATATTATTATTGTTTTTTGTTACTAATTACCACAAATAAGTTTACATAATTGTGTTAGGGTCATCCAGGGGCTCCCACACAAAGAGCAGGGCTACAGGTTGAGGGCTGATTGGTGTAAGGTGGTGTAAGGTTTAGGCAAGAAGGGGCAGCAATTTCCCCTTACCTTGCTACTCCTGAAACTGCCAGTATTGTGTCCTTGTTCTTATACTGTACTGTTGTATGGAATTGTTATACCTTCAAACACATGCCACAAACCGAAACGTTTACAAGCTTGTAAAAACCTTAACCTTGGCCCTTATCCTTATAATCCTCGAACTCAAAAAACAAGCTTCAAACTCCCAGGCTGTGTGTTGTCGGCGTGACCTCGTTCGGTCTGATGATATGGCTTATCATCAGCCAGGGTCCCGGTTGGTGTTTCTGGCTTTAGGCGTCTAGGGGTGCTTTGGGGCTGCAGAGGTGTTAGGCTTTAGCTTGCCATTAGTCCGGACGCAGCTGGGGTTGAATTAGGATTTGGCGGAGTGGTGGGCGATTCGGATTTTGCCTCCGTGCTTCAGATGTTTCAGATGCTAAGGGTTTCTGCCACGAGTGTAGCAGCTCTGAGAACCAGGCAGGCATGTACAAGTCCGTGCAAAAAAGGGGTTGGGTTTTTGTGTATTGGGTCAGCTTGAAGTTTTTGGGTGCATGTGTACGTGCGCGCTCATACCGACATGCAGGCATTAACCCGCTCAGGTGCTCTCCTCATTCGTGATATGTTGGGCTGCACTACTGCCAGGCCTAAACCTGAACCCTGAACCCTTCACCCTAATCATCAAAAGCGTTTAAGACGGATGTGTAGACACACTAGACACATACTTCTGTAATTGTGCAGATGCGGCCTTGAGCACGCAAACGCCGACAGACACACATGCACGCCGACATACAGACTTACAGGCACAGACAGACACACATGTTGAGTTTTTCTGTTGTTTATCAGTGCATGTAAACCAATAGACACACACACACACACATTAGCACACATACATACACACAGGGGTTTCTGACTGGGTTCAGGTGTCTAACATATCTTGCAAGTGCAATGAAATAAACTTGCTAATATACCAAAGCTTGCTGACCGTTCACATCCACACCAAACACAACAGACGATGTATTGAAGGTGTTCGACCCGTTCCCGTTCCAGAAGCCAACCCAAAGCCTTGACAGCCCATTCCCAAACCAATCAAAATCCTGGCGTTTACCAAGGCGTTCGGCACTTTCCCCTTCCCAAACACGCAGAAAAGCCTTGCTCAAATCAAGATTTTCTGCACACAACCATCAAGAGAAACCCTGGTAAAATCAACAGACCAATACCGATGGATTGGTAAACTATGCCAGGGGCACCCCTGGACAGAGCTCTATCGGTTTCGTTGGTTTCTTGTTTTTACCAAGTTGTTCGATGGCGGTGTGTAGTAAGCTTGCTTTTATCATGGCTTTCGGCGTCGGTTTCTTTACTTTGGGGTTTGGGGTATAGCTTGTAGGGTAAATAACCATGATCTCCAACATAACCATAAAAGCCAACCTACCCACCTAAACTGTAGAAAATGTTCCCGAGTCGTATCTTGTCCTTCTGAGGCTGGAGCAACGCCAGGTGGCAGCTGCGGGTTGGGGGAGATTGCTGCAGCTGGCAACCTTAACATGCCCTGGTTTGACAAGCGCGTACAGTAGTTGGCCACCATCATGCATCAGCAGCGTCGCAGCAGCCGCCATAGTGTGGCAGAAATATTGCTTTGTAGAAATGTGAGACAGTGCAACGGCCGCTCAAGTGGAAGCTGTGGTAGTAGAAGCAACTCCTGCCAAGTAGTGGTCGTCGTTCTCGCCGTCGTCGTCGTCGTCGTAGCGTAGCAGCAGCAGTAGCAGTGGCAGTAGCAGTAGTAGCAGCAGCAGCAGCAGCAGTAGTAGTCGTAGTAGTAGTAGCAGCAGCAGTAGCAGTAGCAGCAGTGGTAGCAGCAGCAATAGTAGTTCTGCTACTTGGATTGGAGCAGTAGTGCTAGTAGTAGTCGTCGACGCCGTAGTAGTAGTAGTAGTAGTAGTAGTAGTAGTAGTAGTTGTAGTAGTAGTCGTGGTGGTGGTGGTGGTGGTGGTGGTGGTAGTAATAGTAGTAGCAGCAGCAGCAGCAGGAGTAGTAGTAGTAGTAGTAGTAGTAGTAGTAGTAGCTGTTGTTGCTGTTGTTGCTGTTGTTGTTGTTGTTGTTGTTCTTGTTGTTGTTGTTGTTGTCGTTGTTGTTGTTGTTGTGAACCCCACACACAACCCAAAACCCTGAAAATCCATGAGGGGCCAAAACGACCTTAAACCCTAAACTCTATGCTCCCAAACTCAAACCGTCTAAACCTGGGAGGTAAGTATAAGGTATTCGCAAACATAAGGGCGTTTAAGCTTATATAGGTGCCTTCACATGCAGACTTGAGTGTGGGTCGGTTTATCAACCATATAGCTATACACGGGCTATATGCGCACGATGGATGCTGCATTCACTAACTACTATAGTGGATGTGTACCCTTGCCCCTATAGTGCCTGTCTAACTAGACTATAACTCACTACAACTAGAAGTATTCGGAACCCCCTCACCCCCTAATTACGGTCTGCATGGTTTGAAACAGGGCTTCATGTGCAAGGCTTTAGGCTCAATGATGTGAGAAGGTTCAGAAATCTGATCGTAAGCCTCAACTCGAGCCCCCCTCGCATTGTGCCTCGGGAAGTCTTGGCTAAAATTTCGACCAGGCGCGAAAGAGCTGAGGATGTTACCAATGGGATCCTCCCAGGCAATTCCGAACCTGGGACCCGTGGTGGAGGACCCTTCTTTGAGGCTTGTTGTCTTTGAGGCGTAGGTGTAGGGTAGGTATCTCTCTTGCTCTTTCTGTGCCGTCCCCACATCCATAAGCAAACGACGCAACGGAATTGCAGTGTAGAAGTCCCGGTTGAAAGAAGTCGTCTAGGGATGCTTTGATCGGCAAAAATGTACGGGACACACAACTAACACACATGAACAGCTGAGAGCACACAACCTCTTCCCGTCTCCCACGTCAGGCTTCAAAGTGCCGGAGAGCAGGTGAGACATCAGAACACACGGATTTCTACATCCTAGGCCTATACCCCAACCCACTACACCCTAAACGATAATCATCCCTAGTCTGTTCCCGGCATGTCAGATGGGGGGGTAGCAAGTGTGGCACGGCTCCCTCTTGCTTAACTGGTCCGTCGATCTCAAGAGTCTGCTCTCTGGGTGTGACAATGAGACAGACTACCGTATAGTATCTGGGAGTTTCCGAAAATTAGGGTACCTTATTTGGGGTCCTTATAGTAAAGATCCAGTTTTTTTTTCTAGGGTACTATATTAGGGTCCCCTGTTTTCGGAAACCCCCATATGGGACCTATATAAAGCCTAGCATTTGGATACTTGGGCCCCCGGTACATGGGGAGAAACGAAGGCGGAAGAGCTCACTGCACGACACCAGGGACCAGAGCGCAGAATACTGAAGCAACTTAGCAACGGCAGGAGCCTGGCAGACGACAAGCAGCAAGGTAGTAAGGCAAGTAGCACCCAGTGGTCATTGAAAAAGTAACATTCCCTGCAGTGTCCAATCCGTAGCTCGGGAATACCTTAGCCTAGGTGGGCCAATTTTGGCATCTTATTCCTAATCGCGCCTGCTTATCGACGACGAAGTCTTGCATTATCCGTAATGGCCACAGCTTCGGGTACACAAGCGAGCCTGGACATTTGTCTACCGACCCCCCAATCCAAACCCTAAGCCCCTAAACCCTAAACCCTAAGCCCTGTCTCCTAATTTAAACCCCAAATCCTCACAGCCCTTGGACCTTCGTACCTGCAAGCCACATGGGAGTTTCCGAAAATAGGGGACCCTAATATAGTACCCTAAATAGTAGGATGCTTATTATAAGGACCCCAAAATCGGGTACCTCCAATTTTCGGAAAGTCCCACACACATAGACCGATAATAATAACATATGTGTGTCCTAACCCCTTGGGTCTATCGGTGAAAAACCCTACCGGAACAGGGAAACCAACCAAACATCCAGGTAAAGCTAAGCAGCTTGTTGATAACAGCGAGTTGCTGGGCCACAGTCAGAAGCTGGCCTTGCATGCTTTTCGGTTTATGCCTACTAGTCGCCACAAGTTTTGCGGGTTTGACATGCTTTTGATATGTTCAAACCGTCTTCGTCGCCAGTCGCCAAATACATTGAAGACCCAAAGCATACACTCATCAGTATGTAGCAGGGGCAGCAAGATGCCTAATATAAACCCTGCCTTAGGGCCTGAGGCACCTTCAGGGTTTGATCGATAATCAGGAAAGATTTCTCGCCTCTCTGGACTTCGGAGGTTTAGTCTTACAAGTTTTAACGACAGAATGCTCTAGGACCCTAAGCTCTAAAACACCGAAACCTACAACCCTTTCCAAACGCCGAAAGTCTTAAATCCTGATAGCCCTAAACCTTCTGAATATTATTTGGCTCCCGCATGGCAGCTCGCGAAGTTCAGCCTGATGTAGACGCGATCATAAACGAGAAGTCCGTTATACTTTACGTATAGTCTCCATTGTAGTTCCTTTTTGGGGCTACCTGATAGGTAGGATGTATTCCTGAGCTAAGCTTACTACTGACTGACCGATCTGGGGGAGAGACCGCAGCCCTGTTTGAACCCAGACTGCGCCCATCGACTTAAACCTAAAGCCCTCAGCACGAGAGGCTTTCGAAGTCTACGGCGCTGATGATCTGCTTCACTGAGTATTGAGAAATGGCACCACACCACCCTAAACCCCAAACCCTAAACCCTAAACCATACCCCTCCCAGATTGACCGCGCTCACGATTCCAGAAGCCTCAACCCCACCTGGCCCCAAATACACCCTGGAGGTGTCCTTGAGGCAAAAGCTCCAGACAGACACATCGACTCCAAGCCCCCAACATCTCGCAGACTTCCTCCAAGCCTTACCCTAAAGCATTTCCGGTTTAGGGTTTCCTCAAAATCCTATACCCTAACCCTAAACCGAGGACCTAAACATCTCACCAAGCGACTCAGCGCCAGCGCGACAATGGAGACGTGTGCCACTTGAGTGGCTCGATCAACATCCTGAAACTCAAAGCTCTGAGCCCCCAAACCCTTTTCAGAAGGGTTCAGGGTTTAGCGTTTAGGGCTCAGGGTTTAGAGCCCCTAAAACCTAAACCCCTATAAGCCCTAAACCTCAAACCCCTAAACCCTAATCCCCTAAACCGCCAGACCCCTAAATCCTGATCTCCCAAACCCCTATACACCGCTAAACCCTGACACGAAAAGCTTAGGCATGTTGACGTCTGCTCCAGGCTTTGAACCCTAAACCCTAAACCCTAAACCCTAAATAGGGCCTATTTGATGATTTTTACCGGGACAAAAGCAGAGAGGATTCCGGGCCATCTTATGAAGAGGGTTTAGGGTTTAGGGTTTAGGGTTTAGGGTATATCTGATTTCAGAGGCTACGGCTGCAAGGGGGTACCACTATTGTTTGTTCCGCCCCCTGTACTGCCGCCACAAGTTGGAACATAATTTCACGAAATACCCTAACCCAAGGAGCTCAACGCTTCATGCAGGAGCTTCTGTTAAAGCTGGAACATGAAGCCCTGTAAAGATTAAGCTACCCATAGGCCACATTGTATTTCCTTCTTGGGATTACCTTTTAGGATTCTAATTATGAACCCCAAAAAGGAACTACTATGGTGCCTATGGGTAAGTATATTCCTTACGTGGCGGATTATGGGTTGTCTGGACATGATTCAGGATTTACTCTTTCAGAGCAAAGCAGATTATGCAAGGGTCCAACCTAAGTTAAGGTCTGAACATGGATGTCATCATCGAATCCTCCCATGTCTCCACATAGCAATACTGTAGCATGTACACCGAGCCCGTGTTGTGGTTGCTAAGGCTTGTATTACTTGGGTTTGGATCCACAGGTATTGAGGCTTTAGTGCGAAGTATTACGTGAAGAACAAAGGTGTTGCAGTAGCTTAGGGCTTTCAGGTGGAAGCACCTGCGTTGAGGATAATCGGGCTCACCACGTATGGTCTGTAAGATTGGCTGCGAACAGTTTTTTTTTCCGGCATCCTTGGATGGAGAAAAGGCATCGCTGCTTGCAAGGAGCTACATTGAGGGAAAGGTAGAGCACGGCGATGAGGCACACAATCATGACGGCCGCCAAAAGGATAACGGCGTACCTTGCATGAGCCACCGACACGGTTAGCGATGTAATTAGACTCTTCAGGATGAGTCGTAGCTCGACGAATGCAGTGCGTCCCCATTGCAACAAAAGTTGACGAAACAATAAGCAACACATGAAACAGGGCTTTTGCACGAACGAGAACCGAACGCAACACTCGATTACTGTTTTCAGATGACGTCTCCTTCTTTGGTGGTCCTCCTGACAAGGATCCTACTAACTATTCCAGCTCTATCTTATGGATCCCCTGATGTTCTGATAAGTTATTTTGAAACTGCAGCCTCAGAATAATCTATAAGGCCCCAAAACCACTGTGTTGGCCTGTAGGCCCTGAAATCCCGCAGCCCGAGACACGAACCCCAAGCGTAGGCGTAGGCCCGTAGGCCCTGAGGCTAAGCCACTAGCCACCCAAAGCCCTAAAACCCGAAGCTACCCTTAACCCTAAACCCTAAACCCGTAACACCCAAAGCCCCCAAACCCTAAATATCCTAAATAGAATAAATACCCTAAACCCTAGACCCCTAACACCCAAACCTAAAGCCCTGAACTCCGACCTCCTCCTAAATCGAACATCCTCCAAAGTCCAAGCCCGACTGCAGGCCTAGAAAACATGGGATTAAGGAAGCTACCCATAGGCCCCGTAGTAGTTCAGGGTTTAGGGTTTGGGGGTTTAGGGTTTATAGGGTTTAGGGTTTAGGCCCCATAGTAGTTGCATTTTAGGATTACCTTATAGGATTCTAAAGATGAACCCCAAAAAGGAACTACTATGGGGCCTATGGGTAGGTCGAGGACTTCTTCTACAAGGACTCTGATTTGTGAATACCCCACCGAGCTAGATCCCACCTCTGCAACCCAATGCTCTAAAGACCTGCGGTTCTAAAGCGACAGCTGATGACCTCTCGCCGCAAAAGATGCCGAAACCCGACATCTTTAAGCCACCCACTCCCACTAATTCAAACCCTGATCCCAGCACCCTCAACCTTCAACCCACAGAGCCTTGAAGCCGCAACCGTTTTTGAACCCAGACTCTGCCAAGAAGCCGCAACCTAAACCCTAAACCCCCCTTTTTGTGAACCCAGACTCCCTAAACCCTAAACCCCCCTAAACACCAAACCCAAAAGTCTTCTGCTTCCAGGGCTGCGAAGTGCCGGTGCACGGGCCGCAGGTCCCATCGCGATGAGCTTGAAGTCCCGGCAGACAGTCGTAGCCTCAAGGGCATATGCATTCGCCTCTTTGAGGGTTTAGGGCTTCGAGGGTTTATAGGGCTTATAGGGTTAATCGGCTATAGTGTTTGTAGGGCTTATCGCGTTTATACGGTTTAGGGCTCAGGGATTTGTGTGCTGTTTCAGGGCTTAGCAGTGCGTTGAGGGTGCAGGGGCCTTGAACATGGAGTTCGCTTAAACGGCTTCTTCGGTTCCGTTCTAGGCGTCTGGGGCGGCGGTCTTGTGGCTTTGTTGCAGCTGGTCTGGTCCTTCTTATTTGTGGGTGCGCTTGGTCCTCTTGTTTCAACTGGCGAGCTTCTTGTTTGTGACCAGGGTTTGCAGGCGTCAAGACTCCGCTGCAAGTGGTACTTTAAGGCTTAGTCTTAGAAGCGCATCACAGGCTGCTTCTAAGTATGCTTCTTCGCTGCCGGGGCACGAGTAAAGGAGCTAAATAAATCCTGGTAGATTCCTTCGCTGAACATGTTATCGGCAGCCTCAAGCAGCCCTAGGAGGGGCCCGGCCCAAAACTTGGAAAAACTTAGTGTTTTTTAGTTCTATTTAAGTTTACCTAGGACTGCCGTGCCGGGGGCCGGCCCAAAACTTGGAAAAAATTAGG